TGCCTCGCGTTCCCGCGGGCTCCTGGGAGGTGGTGGCCAGCGCCCCTGCGGGCAGCGCAGGGCCCTGCCCTGAGGGGCCAGAGGTCCCCCAAGGGGCACCTGGCGTTTGGCTGGGGGAAGGGGCGGAAAGTAAGCAAAGGGGAGAAGCTGCCAAGTGACTAATCCCGGAGATGCCCTTTCCCGAGGCGCTGCCAAGCGCCCCAGAGCCCTGCCCCCGGATTTCATCCGCCTCGACCCATCCCCAGCCCTTTGGGGCAGAGGAGCAGCGCGGGCTCTAAACCCCGGACGATTTCTGCGACTGGGGCCGGACCCAGGGTCCGGGGCTCGTCTCCTGGGCGTCCTGGAGCTGCGCTCTCCAAGCCTCCCCCAGGCGAGGTAGGTGGCTGGCGCTTCGGACTGGGCTTGCCGTGTAAAGGTGCGATCTGCTCAAGTCTTGGCATCTTTGCTTTCTCTTTGCTTTTCAGGGCGTTTGGGGAGCTGCGCGGAGCCAGGGGTTCGGAGGAACCAGGCGTGTATTTTCAGCTGCGCCTCAGCCCCGAAATGTGACTGTAATTGACTAGCTCGGGAGGCCCCTAGGCTCTGGATGGAAAGGGTAGGATACGCTAAAAGCCACTGCTTTCCATGGGAATTGAAGGGCCAGCTGGTGGCAATGACAGTGACCTGGAGCGAGGGGGTCAGCAGACAGCCGTAGAGAGCAAGCGGCTCCTTCCAAGGGGGTGACTCGGGGGCCGGGGGCAGGCTCCTGCCACTGTGTGGTGCAGCCCTCGCAGAGAACGCCAGTGAGGTCCTGCACCCAGGGCAGCAAGGGGCCGCCTGACCCCTAACCCTTGACCCCTGCTTAGGAGCTTGAGGGACATCAGAGCCCCCCGTGCTCTCCCCGGAAGATGAGGACCCTGAACACCTCCACCGCCTCCACCATGGACAGGGCCGGGCTGGTGGTGCAGAGGGATTTCTCCTTCCGCGTCCTCACCGCCTGCTTCCTGTCGCTGCTCATCCTGTCCACCCTCCTGGGGAACACACTGGTCTGTGCCGCCGTCATCAGGTTCCGGCACCTGCGGTCCAAGGTGACCAACTTCTTCGTCATCTCCCTGGCCGTATCAGACCTCCTGGTGGCCATCCTGGTCATGCCCTGGAAAGCGGTGGCCGAGATCGCCGGCTTCTGGCCCTTCGGGTCCTTCTGTAACATCTGGGTGGCCTTCGACATCATGTGCTCCACGGCGTCCATCCTCAACCTCTGCGTGATCAGCGTGGACAGGTACTGGGCCATCTCCAGCCCCTTCCGCTACGAGAGGAAGATGACCCCCAAGGCGGCCTTCATTCTGATCAGCGTGGCGTGGACCTTGTCTGTGCTCATCTCCTTCATCCCCGTGCAGCTCAGCTGGCACAAGGCGAAGCCCACCGGCCTCTCCGAGGGCAACGCCACGTCCCCGGGTGAGACCATAGACAACTGTGACTCCAGCCTGAGCAGGACCTATGCCATTTCCTCCTCCCTGATAAGCTTCTACATCCCCGTGGCCATCATGATTGTCACCTACACCAGGATCTACAGGATCGCCCAGAAGCAAATCCGGCGCATCTCGGCCTTGGAGAGGGCGGCGGTCCACGCCAAGAACTGCCAGACCACGACGGGCAACGGGAAGCCCGCGGAGTGTGCGCAGCCCGAGAGCTCCTTCAAGATGTCCTTCAAGAGGGAGACGAAGGTTCTGAAGACGCTGTCGGTGATCATGGGGGTGTTTGTGTGCTGCTGGCTGCCCTTCTTCATCCTGAACTGCATGGCGCCCTTCTGTGGGACCGGGGAGACCCAGCCCTTCTGCATCGACGCCATCACCTTCGACGTGTTCGTGTGGTTTGGGTGGGCTAATTCCTCCTTGAACCCCATCATTTACGCCTTTAATGCTGATTTCCGGAAGGCATTTTCATCCCTCCTGGGATGCTACAGACTCTGCCCTGCAACCAATAATGCCATTGAGACGGTGAGCATCAACAACAACGGGGGCGCGGTCTTCTCCAGCCATCACGAGCCGCGAGGCTCCATCTCCAAGGACTGCCACCTGGTGTACCTGATCCCACATGCCGTGGGCTCCTCCGAGGACCCGAAGAAGGAGGAGGCAGGCGGAACAGCCAAGCCCCCGGAGCGGCTGTCCCCGGCCCTGTCTGTCATCTTGGACTATGACACGGATGTCTCCCTAGGAAAGATCCAGCCCATCACACAAAATGGACAGCACCCAACCTGAACTCCGAGGGGACTCCTGCCAGCCATGCTCACCCCCAAAGCGAGAGGGGGTCTCTGGGGCTTGCTGTGAGACTTGGGGTGTCAGGCGAGCCTTCCTCTGCTGCTTTTCCTCAAACACAACTAACTCTGTTTAAACATACATCCCGGTGTGTTTTCTGTGTTCTTCCTGGCGAATCAAAGAGTCACACATGTTGAGGCGAGGGCTCACAAGGGACGTGTCTTTGGCTCCAAACTTCTTTTTAGAAACGGATTCTTTATCCTAGGACTCAAAAATAGGGCAAAGAATCCACAGTGAGCCACTTCGCTTAACAATCAAACCTTTCTGGGAAGGCAGTGAGGAGGGTTGAGTGGGCCGTGTGCTAACAGGTGCTAACGGTGGTCGGAGCACAGCTCTCCTAGCGTGAAGGTAGGTGCCTGCCTTCCTCAATGATTCCTCCAAAATAATTGAGCCTTAGAGTGCGACTGCGATTGTTTTTTTTGTTGTTGTTGTTGTTTTTTCAGAACTGAGAGATGCTTTGTGGATATTGGTTTTATTTATTTATTGTACTATATGGATATTTTTAACTTATAATAAATCTATATTTATCATATTTTAACAGGACACACGAATGAGTTATCTGAGACCTTCCAATCACATTTTTGTCCCCTTAACTAGCACTTTATAAGCCAAGGGAACAAACACGCGGGCTCTCTGAGAGCCTCAGTGCCCATGTGTCACTCCCAGCAGCACAGCCAAGACCGATAGGAGGGAGCTTGTGCCAATTCCGTAAAACCCACGGGCATAAGTAAAGATGAGGTGAGAGCTGACAGATGCTGGGAACGTTTGTCCCCCTAGACATTGTGAGAAACTTCAGAACGCATAGTAGCTACCACTGTATTCAGAACCTTTTAAGCGGCGGAGACCTGCAGTTCTGTAAATACCTTTTCAAAAGCCAGCGTAAGAAGCCAGCTCGAACTGTATCATCTTAGTGGTAATACAGAGCACATGCCACTTCCTACTTCTGTAAAATAACCGGCCCTCTCGTGTCTTCTCTCAGCCCACGTGTCAGAGAGCTTTTCTGAGCCAGACAGGGGCTGTCCTGGCTCCATGTGCCGTGCGGACAGCGGGTCTCCTCGCTCCCGCACCCGGCAGCCGCCCCCGTGGACAGAGGGTGCATCCCGCCCCTCCTCTCACCCAACAGACCACGGCTGCTTCTGTAGTGCTTTCATCTGCATTTAGAATCGCTTTTTTAAAAGTCTAAATGTTAATGGTATCCTAACAACTAGTGCCTCATGATCACTCTCTGGTCAGACACTTCTTTTGGAAAAAAACAGGAGACCCTGCTCTCTGGGCGTGTCAAGCATCCCAGAGCCGCCGGTATCTCTTTTGACAAACGCGAGCCCTCCCTCCGTGCTCTGGGTCACGCTCCTCTGTCACCAGCAGGACTGTGAGACACCCCCTGGTCACCCTCGCGAGATGCTGGTCCACGTGGGGCATGTCGAGGGAATTTCTGTGCAGCGTTGACAGCGTTTCCTGGTGGGTAAGCCGTGGACTTGCCGTGCAGATGAAGCGGGGAGCACGCTGCTGGCCGTGACCTCCCGCAGCAGGTCCGTGTGACATGTGCATTGTGGATGTTTCCTACCTGGACTGCTGTATGCTTTCTTACATCTAATAAAACTATTTTGTGAACTCACACCAGCCCCGAATGAGCCGTGTTGCATTTGTTAAATGTGCTTTAGAGACAAAAATGTGTCAGCCCCGCGAGTAAGGAAACGTAGGCATGTTCAAGGCTCTGTCACTTTTCTTCTTTTTAATGCCTGTCACGGTGGCCTGGCAGCATTTAAGCAGGAGATGTCTTTGATTCGGGCTACATACTCTTGTTTCCTTCTGCCTTAAGGACTTTTTCTTTTTCTTTCTTTCTTTCTTTTCTGTTATTTTCTTTTTTTTTAAAGAAACCTTTCCTTATTAGAGGAATTACTCTACTTTCCATTTCACAGATTTGAACGATTCCTAAAAACCTCTGCTTTTGCCTTCAAAGTGCCCAGGGACTTTAGACGATGGAAATATCACAGAGAAGGCGGTGGCTGCTGTCGGCTTGGTTTGGACTCTTACCTGATGATAGCCACAGTGTGTGTAGTGCTTGTTTTAAGAATAAATAGAACAGGAGTTTTTTTTTGTTTTTTGTTTGTTTGTTTGTTTTTTTTTCCTTGAGAAAATGTACTGGTTGTAATGCTGGGCTTAGCAAATGTCTTATTGAGCACCCCCTGCATCCTGCCCAACCTGTTTAGTTAGTGTGTAGCCCCTCCCCCTTGTTTTCATCCCTAAGAGGAGAACTCCGGAGCAGCAGGCGCTGCAGAGCTGAAGGGTTAAGTTTATAATTTGGAACCTCACACGGCAGATGGCGTCTTTTAAATTCCATATGTGGCATCCCCAGGCTTTGGCATGTAATGAACATGTCTAGAACGCACGCCCGTAACACGTGAGGCCTTTTCTCTCTGCCTCAGAACTTCCTGCATATCTTTCTCCTCTGAAGTTTAATTTTTTTTTTATGGGAAGTCCAGCACCACCAGCTCCAATGTTCAGGGCTGTCACTGTCCAGCCAATGACACGGGGCACAAAAGCCTTCCCCCTTTATTGTGTTGGCACAGAGTGGAAATTGAAGATGTATCTAGAGATGATGTTACACAGTTATAGTCAGTGTACTGTGGACAAGACTGCCGTGGGCTCCTGGCATGTGGGATCGATAAGGGCCTGTTATGAAATGCTCGTTTCGCTGAAAGGCTCTGTCAGAGAATGTCACTCACCACCAAACGCAGCGC